CTTTAAATTTGACAAATAAAATATTTTTCTTTGACAAACTACAGGAGTACGAATGGGATCTTGCCTATTACCTTTTTTAAGCGAATTAGTTATGAATAATCTTGAGAGAAAAATTTTACTTCGCGTGCTGTTTCCTCTACGAAGGTTGACACTCATCAATATAATTCATATATTTTTGAGACCGAAGCAACTGGTTGGAGTTGCATCTAAACCATTAATTAGATTACGCAACAAAGACATCTTTTTTCTGCCGATGCTCCTTGTAATCTGAAATTCGCCTTGCATATTCAATTGTAGCAATTTATATTTTTCTCTGCGCCTGATATGTCCCAGATATTGTAGTTTTCTTACCTTTCCGTTTCCGTTTTCGTACCTGTTAGTTACCGTTGCTTGTGCATTCTTTCAAGTAGATATTCGTTTGTCTATCTTTCCATCAAATTTGTAAAATTTTCGTATATTTTCATATTTCGAAGGCTTCCAGTCTATTGAAGCATTGTTTGTTTAAAATCCAGGCCTCCACACCATACATACTTAGAATAGTCATGCTTCATTAATATTGATCCCATAATATTTACAATTTATTACTTGTTCATTCCCACATACAGATTAATATTGGCATTAGGTTTCCTTGCAATTATCATGAATTTAGTTTTCTTTATATTGAGTGTTTGCCCAAATTCTTTGCTCACTTCTACGACTTTAGTCATTAGTCAGTATTATAGTTTAGACTTTATTCAGTATTCAGTATTATTGTTTAGAATAAAAGGATTTAAAACAGTTATAAAACTCTTAGTGCAGTTTATTAAAATAAAATTGGTGAAAAATAGAATACGGTAAGATAAATGCAGATTAACGCAATAACGTAGTTGCTTCGTTGAGAGTTCTTAACTTATTATATATCAATTTCTTGTTGGTGCCTTACTTAACAAGATTCGACTATTAGTTTTCTTTTTAATGAAATAACCTCCGAAATAGTCGGGCACTCTCATATTAACGTAAAATTGTGCTTATCGATCACGTAACACGTTTCACAACATGTGACTGTGCATTCACGTGCCCATAGCTCTCGTATTACATATCCGGCCCTTTAGGCTTTGTATATCGTTTCTCAATTCAATGCATCATTTATATTTGGTGCAAGTATTAGCATTTGCATTTTTGAAAAAAATAATAAATTTATTTATGTGCCTTGAAATAATTTGACAACTAGTTAATAAAGAGTTATAAGATATGTTTTGTTCAAGATGTCAAGCTGATATAAGATTTGACTTATCTAGACGACTTTAGAAGTTTGTTTTGTCTCGCGGTTTTCCTTTAAAGCTGCAAAACAAATTTTAAGAGCTTTTAGATTATGGCAAATAAACTCATCAGCAGTTGCCGAACATTATTACGAAACCGGACATCAAATTTTATTCGACTAAAGTAAAATTCTTACATATCATTACTTCTTCTACCAAATAAAAATCCGAGAATTCGTAGAAATCTCTTGCAATCTTAACCGCGACCTTTCACCAATGTGGAAATCAGTCATCCGCGGCAATGTTCATGTCCTTCCTTTAGCTCCTCCTTCGTCAAACAGTATATAAGCAAGTACAGAGTAGAATCCAAACCAGTTTCAGCTAAGTTCTGTCAGCAAGTTGGATTCAACAACAACCGCAGCAGGAGGAATCACACCATTCATCAACAATATACAAAATATAATGGGTGTTGTAATTTCCATCTTACTTAATAATTTTGGTTTACTGTATGTCTCCATGATCATTTTATAGTTGACGTGTAATCTAAAATATTATTTATTCAAAATTCTTGTTAATTGTTGAATTGATCTTACTCGGTTATTTTTGAACTTTCTTATAAGTTAATCAGCTTTACGGTGAAGACTTTTAAAATCAAAATATAAATAAATAAAAATTGTTTGAAAACATCCGAGAAATAGTAATAGCACGTTAGGACTTTAATTTTTAGACGCCAGATTCGTTACCCACGTTGGCGAGCCAATTCGGAAGTTTCTGGTAATTTAGTCACAGGTTTGTTTTCGGTAGATTCTAGCCACGCGCCACTCATCGAATGTATTTGTGCTGTTTTGCAAAAATGATCTTAGACAAAATATAATATGCAACACGTTGATAAAGTTCTTCATTTATTCGTGACTAAAGAGTGGTATATCACACATATTGTTCAATATACTATTTTTTAACATTTTGTTTTTGATTGTTTCCTGCTATTTTTATTATGGAGAGACACAGATCTGCCTCGATTTTATTAAGTATTTACCATGTCGGCGAGTCTGTAACGGATTGGGTAATAATCAATAAGGATAACAAATTTCTTGGCTCGTTAATGCACAAAAGAAAGCTCTCGAGCGATAATAATAGTAATTTTATAAATTGTTTCTCCCTAATTCCGCCTCTTGCGAGTCATTCCGCTCTAATTTGTTTGTACTTTTATATAATGTCCGGATATTTTTATTTTGAAATGGGATTTTCAAGATGTCATATTCAATTCGTTTTCCGCTTTGTGACGCAAATTCTAAAGAAGAACGAAGGTAACAACTGCGCCTCTTTTTGTTGTCGTCGCCTCCATTGCTTACGTTTCCCCGACGACAATGAGCTTACTTTATTATGATGTGGTAGTTTTCTGATCTACTATGGCTGCACCGTTTCATAATAATAAAAATGCCGGGAATGAGTTTTCTTTCAACCGCAGACGCCCTCGAAAGTGTGGGTAGAAGATATATACGTATATAAAGGTAATATGTAAATTGAAATTTAAACGGCAATTTTGTTGGTCGCATGCTTGGTTTGTGCGAAACACGTAATGTTCGTGGAAGCTCATATGATTGTTCGTTGCAGTTATTTTTGCAATAATAAGCCATAAACAAAATTTACGACGTCAATATGATAACTCCATAAAGAAAAAAAAATCATTTGGATTATATTCGTGACAGATTATAGAGTATGCATGATCCACAAACAAACTTCTGCGTACTGATATATTTTCATTCGAGATATAGTTTGTCTCAGACTATATCGTGTTGGCTTTTGCCGGCATTTATCTAAGTTTGCTGATAATTCCAATAAAACTCCGAATCGGTAGGTATCAGATGACAGAACATTAGATACAGACTCTTAAAAGGTGTTTTAATTAAATAAAGATTAGATGATTTATTATTTACTTAGGTAGACATAATCTTAAAATTACAAAATTTACAAATTTTTTTAAATTAAATTGGTGAGTAGGAGGACACTAGTTTACTACTGCACTTTGAGAGATGGACTAATTTTACAATTTTAATTACACATACATAACAAAGTTTTAATAAAAAATAATTATATTACCTATATATAATTGCATTTTTATTCTGAATATCTGGTTAGATTATTGTTAATTTGATGAGAATGGGCGTAGGTAGCATTTTCAGTCTGTTCAGATGTGTTATCACATACATGTTGTTTTATAATTACTTCCAAAAGTTTAGCTTTTTTGTAACTGAATTCGAAGTAAGGGGTTTTAACTAACTAATATTTCTGGATTTCGGTGTTTGTACTTAATGAGGTTTATGCTAGTTGTAGGAAGCAACTGTTTTAGCTTATATTATGCATAGCAATAACACTATTAATAGGACTAAGATAATTTTTTGACGAAACGATCATACCAAGTAGTTTGGAACAAATTTGTCGTCTGATCCATATCATGCATAAGATATTTATTGCTCGGTTTATTGGATCTTCCAAGAGGCAACACAATATATTTTAAGATGTGCCAACAAGTAATAACCTTTAAACGAATTTACAAATTAAAACGGAGCCGCTTAGTTATATACTTCTCCCCCAATTTCTGTTTTGAAAATTGTAAAAATATGAAAAGCACAAAAAGGAAAATGTTTTGTTTCTGATCAAATTTTAGGATTTTACCAATTTTCAAGTGCGTACCTATATGTTTCGAGTTAAATTGTTTTTTTTTCCAACATTTTTTTGCTGTGATATTCAATCAAAATCAGTACTATTTTTGCAAGAAATACTAACTGGTTGGTACAGTTTTGCTTGCAAGGCGCGCAACAATGCAATTTCATTGTAATATTAATGGCAACAAACTTGGTCAACAATAACATATTAACTGGAGTAGAAAGCCACATAGAAAGTGACTTCTATAAGGCATACGTAAATTACCACAAAGCATTGGACAATTTCAGTATCTCCCCTCCAATCATAAACTTATATTGAGCGGAACGAAGATTCACGAGTAGCGAGTAATATTTTAAAGTAATTTGCAAAATTAAACTTGTCATCATTTGCGGTTTACAAGCTAAGCCACGAATGCCCAAATGCCCGCCTTAAACTGGGAGAAGCCTTCAATAGCAATTAAAATTTGTCGATGAGTCGATTTTGACAGTAGAATCTAAAATCAAGTTATCATCAACCTTTTTAGTAGGGACAAAAATAGGATGTAGCTTTGCTTGTCCATCAAGAACTGATGTACAACGTAATCCAACCTGCTTTGTATAAAATTTCTGGATTCTTCCTGCTTCGGTTTTTGTTGACTCGAACTAGCTAACGCTTCAGAGCTTGACTGAAACAGTTTCAGTCAAGCTCTGAAGAAGCCAATATTATGATTGGCGAAACGTTAGCTAGTTCGGGTCACCAAAAACCGAGGCAGGAGGAATCCACAAGTTTTATAAAAAGTATTACAGTAGCCTGTGGAAGTTCCTTTGAAAAAAAAAATCTAAAAAAAAACTAAAACTAATCCAACCTCTTTGAAAATTTTCTGAAGCTGCTGCTAGTTGTAGTTACTTCCTTTGCTTTTTTAACCATTTATCCTTATAATACAATTAGCTTGGTTGTTGGTTAAAGTATTTTACGATTGTTTTGCTTCTTCAATATTAGATTCAAATGATTGATCGATTGATTGATTATCTATTTAATATGCGACTTCAGATATTTTTTAAAAGTCATTTTGTGAAGTTGTTGAATTAAGTAACGGACGTCTTAATTTTGTTTCAGGTTTTTTTATTTGTATCATTTCCTCTTCTACGCCTACCACTATCGCTTCAATGGTCAGTACAGTAGTTTGGCCTTGATTACATCGTGGTTCTTCATTCAGGTGAGCGGACGTTTTTTAGCATATTACCAAATTATATATAAAATATAACAAAATGCTATAGATCTGCCGTTATACTCGTTATTTTAAGTATTGTACCTAAATTGATTTGTGCCGGAAGAAAACTAGTTGTATAAAAATTACTATATTTTCTTGTTATTATAAAAGCCAAGAGCTGCAAACTACTGTTAGGCTGAACCTAACCATTGGCTATAACACAAGGCGAGTAAATTCAAGTTTTTTTGGTGCTAAACATAGAAATCCTAAGTATAGCGCCATCTTTCATGTCAAAGCTTCAATAACCAGGAAGTATTTACATCGGCGTCATTTACATCCTGTTGATTTGGTAATTCGCTAGAGCGATTTTCATCAGAACGGATGGCTAAAGACTTCTCCGCACAAGAAATGCACCCCAAGCATAATCGACAATCTACAAAAATCATAAGAATTGTCCTGCTAAGACCGCATTAGTTTTTAACACCCATAACGTACCTTTGTCAATTAGGGCCACCCCAACTTTTCACTCATAGATGAATTCTATTGGGTTGTTCGGAAAGTCATTTCGTTTTTTTTTGGGGAACATGAAAGACAGTTTTCGTAAAATGAATAAATATTTTATTAAATTATATATTGGCCATTCTGGTCCAACACATTTTGCCATCTTTCTGGCAGTAACATAATTCCCCTCTCATAAAAGTTTTGGTCCTTGCTGGCAAAAAACTGGTTCAGGTGGTTTTTGACATCTTCATTTGAGGTAAAGGTTTTGCCATCCAAAAAATTTTGCAGGGACGGGAACAAATAGTAGTCGGAAGGCGCCAGATCTGGAAAATATGGTGGATTTTGCAGTACGTCCCATTCAAGCTGTAAAAGTTTTTGGCGAGTGACCAAACTTGTGTGAGGTCTCGCATTATCCTGGTGGAACACTACACCCTTCCTTTTGATTAATTCGGGCCTCTTCTCTTTAAGTGAATCATTCAATTTGTCCAGTTGATGACAATAGACTTCTGAATTAATCGTTGTATTGTCCGGCAAAAGCTCAAAATTCCTTTGACATCCCACCAAACGGAGAGCATCACCTTTTTTTGGTGAATGTTGGCTTTTGACACGCTTTGAGCCGGTTCATCTTTTCTGTTCCATGACCTCTTGCGTTTAACATTGTTGTATAAAACCCATTTTTCGTCCCCAGTAATAATCCGCTTCAAAAATGGATCATTTTCTTGACGTTTGAGGAGCGAATCACACACGTCAACGCGACGACACAAATTTCGCTCCGTAAGGACATGGGGCACCCACACATCGAGCTTCGAAGTTAAGCCCATGCCTTTCAAATGGCCATAAACAGTCGAATTCGACAAATTTAATCTCTCACCGATCTCTCGTGTGGTTATTCGCCGATTTGCATCAACTAATGCCTTTATCGCATCTTTCTCAGCTTCGACCGGCCTTCCAGACCGTGGTGCATCTTCGACATCAAAATTGCCGGATCGAAATTTTGCAAACCAGTTCTGGCACTGGCGTACTGTTAACACGCCTTCTCCATACACATCCGAAGTAAAATATGACGAAAATGCTGCTTATTGCTCTCCATATTTAAAAGGGCACCAACCAAAAACTACTGCGTAGAATTAATAGAACTTTTTCACACACAAGCCTTGCAATATCAGCTCTCAAGACATATAATGGTTATGCGGCTTAAGTGTGAAGTTGGTTTCGAAAAAACGTAATTAAGTCCTCCGACGGGAAAAAACGAAATGACTTTCCGAACAACCTTATAGTTCCTACGCAACAATTTATAAAACAATATTTCACAAAATTTGTCTTTGTAAGATTCGCAACTAAATTGCATTTTTTTTTTCAGTGTTTGATATATTTGAGAAATTTTAAAAAAATTGGGGAAATAAATGGACAACGATTTGTACTCATAAACACTTATTTGTTAAACATCTGCGAAAGCTAAAGCAATTGTTATAATTATTATTTTTATAATATATTTTTTAAAATAATTTAATTCATTTCGCCTCACGTGTTTCCAAAGGTCCATTGTTTCAGTGTCATGTGTTTTTGTAGGCGTTATTTGTCAAAAATAGCCGAATGTTTGAGTATACACCAAGGATGTTGCGAAGAAGACGCGATAATTCATTCATTAAATGAGTCGGAACCGACAGCCATAAACAAACGTTTTTGACTGGTGTGGTTTCCATACTTCTTACGATAGAACGGATATTCCCTAATTTGGTTCAGCCAACGTTCTACGATTGGAAATGTCAAAGCTTTAGGAAGTGCGAGGTCACCATAGGTGTAGCTTACATATGAAGACTGCATGCGATGGTCGTAACAAGTTTCTCACTCCACTTTACAAAATTCTTTGCCCATTGGCGTGATAAGGACCCATAAGTGGCGTCTCTGCCTCTTTCGTGGCTAGGAGGATGTTTCCGGTTCTATCTAATTTTCTGCAACGCCGATGCGATTGGAAGTTCTGGTATTAGGAATTTTCAAATATTAGATCACATGTTAGTGTACTGCATTGGTGTACCTTCACCATCTATTTATAATTTTAATTACAGGTGGTCGAATGAAATAGATATGACATCGAATCACTTTCCTGCGATTTAATATACGATACACATAATGTTGACAATAGAGTAGATTTTCTTACAAATGAGAGATCATACTTGCTTCTCTTAAAATTGTAAAAGTGAAAAAGAAACCATACCAACCCTGGATCACCCCCAATATAAGATTCATGCAGACACTCAGAAACACAGCACTGAAAAAGTATAAAGATAGATAGAAATCAGTGGATTTTGAATATTATAATTAACTACTTAATTATTCAACGGCAAGAACTAAAAAAAAGTAACATCTCTAAAGGAAATAGACAAAATCTTTCAAAAAATTTAAAGAACGTAAGCGAACTACATGCATAATTTATGCAAATATGAATGAACATTAGCCAACTCGATGAAAATGTAATATCCTTTTATACCAATAATCATTAAAAAATAATCAATTAAAAAATATTAAAAAATATTAAATCTAAAGCTTTTGGTGCAGATCACCTAAATAATAATAATATTCCTCGGTTCTCCTGTCATAGTACCTATTTTAAACTCATGTATAGAAAATTCCTGTCTTCCATTACAATGGAAGCAAACTACATACAATCACTTTCCAAAACAATTAGGTTTACTAACTTCTTTCAACCTCGTTCAATTTTTCTGTTCTTCCGACACTGTCGAAGATTCTCGATAAATTGTGGCAATCCAAATTGTAAACTTCGTAAGGGTGAATAAAGTAATCCCAGAAAAACAATTTGGTTTTCGTGCAGACTACAGCTGCTCTACTGCCTTGTTTGATGTAACGGACAATATTTTCAGGGCCTGAGATAGTAATAATGCGTGTGCTCTAATATCACTGAATTTCACAAAAGCCTTTGTTATGGTAAATAATAAAATTGTTATATAAATTGTTCTATCTAATGTCGCTTCTGTAGTAGAGTAGCATACCAGGATTATTATTGTACGCAATTTATACATCTCAATTTCCTAAAGCTCTAAAACCATGACCATATGTATGAAGACGACACTCAAGTATATATTCAATTTAAACCGACTGAAACTGACCATGGCACATACTGTATTAACACTGATTTATTTAATCTTATTACCCAGCTAGGCAACAACGCAATACCTGTTAAATAGTGCGTAAAAAATCTTGGAGTTTTAAACAACATAATACCTAAAGGCGTATGATTTGCTATAAAATTAATATTTGCACATAGACGCAATTTAAAAAGTAATACTATTAAACAATTAAACACTCGTTCTGCTGCGCTCTACTTGTACCAAATAAACTCAAAGCCGTTTGCTACACTTGTTGCATAATATACTTTTTAAGCGTTTCTTTTCCTACTGCGTACCATTTTATATCAGTGTATTTAGAGGAAATGATTTCTCATCTTCTCTTGCTACTTTTAAATACAAATTAAATCTGTAAATATTTGCTCAGCAGTAAGGCGTTTCATAATAATGGGTATATTATTTTATTCTGCGCGTATACTAAAATCCATCTTTTCCGTAGATTAAATAGCCCCGAACCTTTCCCTCTCTCTTACAAATATATTAATTAATAGTTAACTAAACTGGGAGTTACATATTATAGTTATATACGTATGTATTCAATAATTAAATAAATTAAATAAATAATGCCTTTATTTAAACCGGTAACGAGAATTTAAGTTATAGAGTATTTTTTGGAGGTGGCGATATTCTTTTTCATTACGCCTTTTCAATATAACGACCAAAAACGACAAACGAAAAAAAAAGAAATCCAAAGGTCAAAGTCAAAAAAACACTTAGGTTAGACATAACAGGACGCAAGAAAATTGTGATAAAATAATAATAATAATAATAATAATAATAATAATAATAATAATAATAATAATAATAAGGACGCAGCATCCTTGCCAAAGGAAGGTGCCGTTGTAGCCAACTAAACTTATAACAAAGAAATAATACATATTAAAACATTTCATATTCGCCTTAAATACAATAATTGAAGTTTGTCTTATGTAGAGAACGGCATAAAAGAATAACAGGATACAAAGAAAGAAGAAAGGAGGAAGACATGGCAAGAGGAAAAGAGAAAAAAGTAGTTTGTTTGCTTAATCAAAATGCTTAGTTAATTAGTGAGCCATCGTTAAAATAAGATTTGATTTCCACACAAAAACAAAAAAAAATGCACAAGCAGTAGAGATTTTACCCAAAATAATAACTTTCTGATTTCGAACTCGTATTAATTGTTCTTTTTATTTATATTAATATTTAGCATGCATAGTGATTACTTAAATATATTTTTTTAAATACTTTTTGGCTTCAACAGCTCCTAATAAAGGCAATTGCGTATATGGAAGACTGAAGTAAGGCTATTTAGCCGATGTATAATGGTTACATTGTCGTATTGTTTATATCTTAAAATTAATAGGTGATAATAAGCACTTAATT